GGAGGTTGGTTACTTTTGTTCCCTAAGGTCCCTGTGTGTGTTGTAAAGTAGCGACCACTCCAAGCTCACTCCTGTGATTAACTGCAATCTCAATACAAACTTTATTTTGTAAAATAAAGACCTTTTTTTGTAAAATAAAGACAAGATCCTTATCAAGCTTAAGGGACCTGTATGGATTTTGGGGTGACTCCACACTTTTTTTCCCCTTTGTTTTTGAACAAAACAAAGCTGGACAGGAAATTTTTAGAGGCAATAGTTTGTTTTTTGTTCTTTTCTAAATGTCACTTTTGCAGTGCTACAGGTGTCCCAGTTCACATACGGATTTAGGGCATCCCCCAAGCATGGTATTTAAAGGCTTTCAGGGGAATTTATCAAAACTGGAGCAGACAAAATTTTAAGCAGCTGTGCACTGCAACTGGCTTCTTTCTTTCATTTACAATACTTAACTGAAGAGAGAATCTGATTGGTTGCCCTGGGCAAGTGCTCCAGATTTTGTCTGCTCCATTTTTGATACATTCCCCACATTGTATTTTTAATGTCACCCTTTAGAGCCCGTACACATTGAGCGGTTCGCAAATCGCGCGTTTGTCGCGCAAATGCTTGCATTGAGCAAGCTTGAATCGCGGCTAAATCCGCTCCAAAAAGGGTCCTGCTGTAGCGACACAACCCGCGACAGCAGGACCCTTTGCCCCATTGAGAAGCATTGGAGAGCGATATCACGGGAATTACCACGCGATAAATCGCTCAATGTGAACGGGGTCTTAAAGTTTCAGTAAAAAAACACCCCATGGAAGTGTCCAGCTACAGATGCCCTTTTTTAACTAACGCGTGCCTATTAGCTTTGAAAAAGGCCACATATGTATTACAAGGTTCAGCTTGCAGATTCCAAGGGGGTTCCGGTGCCAATTTCAGGGTTTTATTTTTTTTTCTTTGAAAGCGTTTTTGGTTCGCTCATCACTGCTCATTAAAGCGTGCAAATGTTTCCTATTTTAAAAAAAAAATGTTATTCATGTTTGTTACACTGTAAGGTTTGGTTCACACCAGCCTATGCACTAAAACGATCCATTTTAGTGTGTGGGTTGGTTTCTGTGGTTTGGTGTCTGTGCTGGTGGGAAGCAGAAATCACCAGCACTCAGTAAATATCTTTAATGTCCATTTAATCGGACCAATTGTCATGTACAAAATAGCGACGTTTCGGGACCGCACAGGATCAATCATCAGGGCGATAATGTAACAAGTCCTTCATCAGGGCGACAATGAAATAAGTCCTGATGAAGGGATCCGGTGCGGTCCCAAAACGTCGCTATTTTGTACATGACAATTGACGACTGGTCTGATTAAATGGACATCAAAGATATTTACTGAGTGCTGGTGATTTCTGCTTTCCACTGTTTGTTGCACGGTGCCATCCGTGATTGTCACTGCAAGCACCACTACAAGTACTTGGGCCGGGAGCGCTGTGAGGAGTGCAGAGGGACTTGCTATTTTCTCTGTGCTGGTGGGCACATTGACACTGCATTCACTTCTATGCACCGCAGCAGAGCTACAGTGCATTCAAACAGGCAGACCGAGACTGAGGTTCCTTTCCTCTCTACTCCGCAGCTCTCTAATCTGTTGTGATGTCAATGGGACACATACAAACAATTTTTTTCTATGTGCCCTTGCAACAGCCATGATTGCTCAGGTGTAGAAACGCAGGTCTCTGAACATATGGATCAATTTACAAAGCAAACATATCTGGTTAGGAATCCTTATTTTCAAAAAGGTAACAGTTTTCAGGTAACAGGTAACAGACTTTTCTGAAGAGTCCAATCAGATTTAAAAATGACAAGTCACGTGATTAAAATAAAGATCCTTGTGTTAACGTTTCATGAATTGAGTATAGTGTAAACGTGCCCTAAAGGATCTTTGCCCTACTCTTCTTCAGTATAGGAGTTGCCTTGGCAATCTCACTCATCTCTTACTTAGATGGTTATTCACTAAAGAGCCAAAGGATCTAGTCTTAGCTTCAGCTGATCCTTCGGCCAGCGGAGCCCTTCGGTTTAGTCAAACCGAAGGCCTGCTGTACGGGCTCTGCACAATAGCCAGTACAGCAGCTGAGCCGAACGCATATGCTTCGGCTCAGCTGATCCGTAATGACAGCCAAAGCAACCGACAACTGGGCGGAGCCAACGTCACACTTTTTTTCCCTTTAACATGGGATCCCTCCTAACATTCCAACCAGACCAAAAGAGTTTGTTTTTTTCCCCTTTACATTTAAAAAAATTATTTTTTAATTCTGCTCGCTATCTCGGAGGCAGCGAGCAGAATAGCCAAGCCAAATACCGCTCGGTGCCACTGGCCTATTCATGCACTGCCGTTCGGCCCCTAGGCAAGTCGAGCGGCTTCTGCACTTCGGCTCAGCCAAACATGCTGAGCATGTTCGACTGACCGAAGCCAGCCGAAGTACGGCTGATTTTAGCCGATGTACAGCTGAAATCAGCCGTACAGAGCCAAAGTGAAAAGATGAACGCTGTATCGTCTATTACCACTTCAAGTTCTTACAGCTTACCATCAGTTGATCTATACTGCTGCCATTACCTCTGCCATTTATTTCAACTTCTCTTATTGCACATGTGAATTTCTAACGCCGTCTTTCTCAACTAGAGTGCCGTAGCACACTGGGGTGCCTTCAAACTTCCTCTGGGGTGCCTCAAAATGTTCACAGTGTCAAGTCTCTGACGTCAAAGAGGAGGACTTTATGTGAAAGAGAACCCTCTTTTTCCATGGGGTCCCTCTTTAAAATCCATACCAGACACCTATCTTGGATAAGGATCGGGTATGGATATTGTAGGGGCCACATGTCCTTTTTTACAGTTAAAGTTTTTACATTTTAGACTGGTGTGTCTCAAGCTTTTGCATACTATTATAGGGTGTCGCGACTGACAAATGTTTGAGAAACACTTTCCTAACTTAGTTTGTCATTTTGTAAATGTGAAATATTTTTGAGACATAATTTAATGCTAAACTATGGTCTGAGATACCTTAGTGCCTCTGAATTATTTTTGTTTACCATCAACATTAAATCCTGTGAAGTTCATCAGGGGACTATTGCTTTAATTTTCCGCTCTCCGCCCCCTCAGTCTGAAGGAGACAGTTTACTTAGCTTCCCACTGAAAGGAAGTGAATGCATTGCTAAAATATGCCTCAAGAGCCACAGTGCGAGGATTGTGCAGCAGTTCCGCCAGCGCTTCCTTCAATTCTACTTAAACAATCTTGTGTCGGCATTAATGTTAGAGGAATGCAAGTTTTACCTGTCTGCCAGAAAGTGGTCAGTACTAGCCAATTTACAGCAACAGAGCAGTCTTATATATGGCAATAATAACACCACGCACAAAGAAGTATGTCATGAAAGCAAAAAAAAAATTTAATCAAACAATCCATCTTAGCAGCTGAAACATTATTAAGGCTTTACCCATCAGAAGAAAGTAGTGCATAGGGGAATTTGACTTCACTTTAGGCTTACTAAAAAAGTACAATTAAAATGAATACTAAACTCAGGAGTTAAATTTTAAAAATGCATTCAAGTACTTTAACTATTAACAAAAATGTACCTTATTTATCACTCGGCTGTAAAACCTCAAATCATCTCTGAATTCATGCTGACACTGTCCTTCCTTCTGGAGGGTGGCTACTTTTGTTTTCCATGGTCTCTGTGTGTTCTAAAGTAGCCATTGCTCCAAGCTCTCTCCTGTGATAGACTATAACTTCAGTACAAATTAGTAAAAATAAACACGAAATTATAATCCATCACAGGAGCGAGCTGCGCACCGTGCCTCAAGGTTGGGCTCCATATGGAGCATATTTTGGTTTCAATGCTCCTGCTTTTGGAGCATGGTCACCTTAGGACCTGAAGTCTAGAAACTGGCAGGATCTACAGGTAAAGAAATAAGCCTTCCCAATGTGCGCCCTGCTATAAAGGCCGGTTATAGATTCATGCATGTACCATTTTTTCTAGTTTGAAAGAAAAATTAAACCAAAATTATTTAAATATATAAAATAAATGTACTGCTGGAATGACTGGAGGATAAGTATTTTAATCATTTTTATTTTTTGGTTTAGTGACCTTTTAAACAGGAGGAACACATGCTTCCTTCCCCATAAAGTCCTATTACGTGTAGCTTTGCCAAAAGCCTTCCATAGGATCTCTGCATATGGCGCATAATCAAAACAAAGCTGACCGTCACAAGACAAGTATGGGTAAAGAACTAGAACATGAGATCATCTCTTCCATTTGGGTAGGTTGGACTACTTTGCTCTATTCAGTTCATGATCGGTAGGGAACTTCTTATTTTTGGATGTGCATATCAAGTTAGAGTAATATTTGGTAGGGGTCTTCATATATAATCAGTATCCCTTTAACAGACCAACTGCACATACAAGTAAAAATTAAAGCTGAACTCCAAGAAAAGCAAATATTGTCTAAATACAAGAAGCATGTGTATCCTTATTTGTATCTTGGTGTGGTTTGTTTATTTTTTCTAGATCTGTGCAGTAATCCATCGTGAAATTTTGCATTTGTGTTGGAGCTTTCTGTAATAAAGACCAGTCACTGCTGCTCTCACCCTGTGTAGGATAAATGGTCTAGTCTCTGCCCCAGCCTGTAGTTTTCTGTAGTGGGGGAAGCCAGCTGGATCCCTCCCACAGCTCTGCTCTCTACACAGGCTATGTACAGCACAGTGAAGATGTCACTGTTGTATCATAATATCTGGGTTTGCAAAGAAAATTGGTGCGCACAAGGTGAGTCTGTATCCTCTGCAGCCATTAAGCAATGCATTTACATGAAAGCCCAGAAGAGAAATGCAAATAAACATTGAGTACAATGTATTGTATAAGCATTACAATGCAAAGTGCTCAGAGCTTTAGAAGTCAAAACAATACAAATAAAAGACTACACAGGATGTCATCAATGCTGCCATCGATCCACATTTATTTTTAAACATCCTCACATCTTCTGTTACCTGATGTCTTCCAGGAGCTCAGCATCTTGCTGCTGCTTGTTCTGAAGACTTGAAAGCTGGTCCCCAAATCGAACCTTCACTTCCTGAGTGACTTTTACCTGTAAAAAAGCGAGATGAAGTTCAGATCTGAAGATCCAGTGATAGATGTCCACTAAATATGAAGGTTTTCACCAGTACTCCTCAAAGCTTTGCAACAAGTAGGATCAGAGCAGGGAAAGCGCTCACTGAACAGGGAAAAACAGCAAGACTCCCATGAGCCAGATCTGCACAGCCATGACATGCTTAGAAAATGCATTGACCACACACAGGAGGTAAAATTAATATGTACCTTACAAGCACAGGAATGTCACAGATGGGGATTTTCTGTTATATACAACTTATGTTGTTTATTTTTTTTATCATTAAAATATAGATCTTCATTCCATCGTTCAAACCCCTTTCTGTATATATTAAACAATATCAAATACCAATATCAGTGCTTCTAGTTTTAATGTATGTTAAGTCTTCTTAACACCTTCCCATCCAGTTCACACAACTATGCACACCTCTGGGAGGTGAAAGCAGAACCACAACCTCCTGTCCCTTACAGCCACTGAAGGTGGCCACTTAATTTTCTCAAGGGGCCACATGAGAAACTAGGACTGTTGTGGAGGGCCAAACCAAAACGTCTTACGGTAGTTGTCCCGATAAGAGTGTCACCTTAGGCTTCGAGTGTCCCTTTATATTTTTGTCCCCCACCTATCTTAGTTTACTACTGTATTAGTAGGCCAGGGGCAGGAACTGGAGCAGGCTGCAGGAGAGGACTGAGGAAGATGTTCTTCCGTCCTCCTGTAATGCTGGGGGCATGGAACACATTTGAGGTCACCGATTGCTAGGGCTGCCAGCAGTCCTAACAACCAATGACTGCAGAGGAGGTGGACACTTGACATAATTGGTTGCTAGGATGCCAGCGGTCCTAGCAACCAAAGACTAAAGAGGAGGGGAGCCTGCACTGGACTGCCTGACATTGGATGCACTGGCCTCTGAGGCTGGTGCATTCACCGTCAGCCAGCCATAACAGAGCACAGGTTGGAGATTGTGGCCTGGACAGAACTGTAACCCGGTTCATTGCGGACCGCAGTCCGCTATTTAGGGACACCTAGCGTGCTCCAATGGACCACACCCTAGCTCAACAGGGACAGCCAAAAGGCCGGATGTGGCCCGGGAACCATAAAACACCCAGGTCTACTCTAATTAGACGGCAGTTGCCATGGTGCTGCATATGTGATCAATATGACACCAGCTTTTCAAGGGCTTGAACATTTGGTTGAGAGCCAAAATAAGCACACAAACAACTTTGACAGTTGGGATGCCTTAAAGTAACTGTTTTGGGAGACATTAAATTGGTGAGCGAATTTTCTCTTTAATGCCCGGCTGCCGCATATATAGGTTCAGTGTCCGGTGCAGTGAGCGCATTTCCTGCGCATATTTCAACAGGATGGGCTACTGATCATGTGATTGTGGAGATTGCCTGTCAGTGGCATGTTCAGGAGCCTGTCCCCAGGTAGTCATTAAAGCAATATTCCGGGTAAAAATTATCTTAACTCTTGCAGTGGGGCTATCCCCACACTGCAAGTGTTAATGGCTCATTTTTGTTTAGGTTCAAAAATAAAATATATACTCACCCGATCCTCCGAGCTGACTGGCTCTTAGACCGGTCCCTTCAGCTTCGCTCCCCTCTACTTCGGTGGTCTAAGGTCCTGTGCATCTTAATGTTCTCTACACAGAGGGGAATTTATCAAAACTGGAGCAGACAAAATTTGGAGCAGATTTGCACTTCAACCAATCAGCTTCTCTGTCTCATTTTCAAATCTTACTTGAGCAAACTGAAGAGATGCTGATTGGTTGCCATGGGCAACTGCTACAGATTCTGCCTTCTCCAATTTTGATTAATTCCCCCCACAGTGTATAAGATGTGAGGTCCAAGGACATACTATTGCTGTAGTGGGGGAGCAGACAGGCAGAAGTGACCGGTCTAAGAGCAAAAGTGATTTTTGGCCTAAACAAAAGCGAGCAGTTAACACTTGCAGTGTAGGGGTAGCCCCACTGCAAGGATTAAGAACAATTTTACCCAGAATTCTGCTTTCAGTAACTTTTAAAGGGCCAGCAGCAAAGAGATCAACAGAATGGGGTGGGGGATTTATCAAAACTGGAGCAGACCAAAATCTGGAGCAGTTGCCTATGGTAACCAATCAACTTCTCTTCTAAGTTTGCTCAGTTAAGCTTTGAAAATGAAAGGTGGATGTTCATTGGTTGTCGTGCACAGCTGCTCCAGATTTTGATCAATTCCCCGCAATGTATTTACATGTCTCACTTCTATTACAAATCCCCCCAAAAAAGGAACGCATTTTTCATTTTGGCATAGAATGATGAACAGAGCTGTGAAAACCATTCCCTTGGACAACTACCGCAGGTTTTTAGCACTGAACAGCCTAATATTATAAAGCCATTTATTGCAAACTGCATAGGACTGTTTTAAGCTTCCCATACACCTTACGAATATCAGGCGATTTTCGAATGCGATCGCGTTTTCGTCCGATATTCGTAAGGTTGATGGGCAGTGTACAACCGCAAATACTGTACAATCGATCGACTTGACTAACCAGCAGGTTCGAAAACTTAGGTCGATCGTATGATTTTCGCAAGGTTGGTGGCCTTTCCATACGTCAAAATTCGTACGATTTACACTGCTCATGCGCAAACGAAAATACGTGCGGTCGATTACCGCAATTCGTCCAGGTGTTTTTTTTTATTTTGTTTTTTTTTTAAACTGCTGATTGAACCTTGCAATAATCAGAGCAGGATGGGGCCGCCGTACAAAAATCGGACGACGGTTCGATCATCGGACAAAAAGCTTTGTCCGATGATCGCAAGGTGTATGGGCAGCTTTAAGCTTGTTGGCCCATCGTCAGTGCATGCAAATGATGAATTCAATAGAGCAGGTCAGGGAAAACATGAAAAAGTGTAAATATAGACACTTATTGTATTGTGAAATAAAGTAATACATGCAGAAAGATGTTATCCAATTAGCGTTATACGTTATGCTTTACTTCAGTAGGGTTTTTGTATGCGTTTGGATTATAATCTAAAATGATACATTTTTCATTGTTTGGAAATTTTGCAACAGGGACACCGCAATAAAAAGCCCAAGGGTTCTAGGATCTGTGCAGACATTAGAATAAATAGGACATAGAAGTGTGGTTTCTAATTGAGAGCCCATAAACATTTCTGTCTAGATTCCTACTAGAACACACATTCTATATCATGTGCTTGCTTCTGACGTCTTATCTGAAAACCGCAACATCAAAATGAAGTGAAACCGTTCCATGATCAATTTATTCCCATCCACCAGCTATAAAAACTCTCTTCTGTTGACCAAAGGCTTTTATGTTGACTGCATCTCTTTCCTCAACTGACATCAATCATGTCATTGATTTTCTTATGAAGCATTACACATCTATTCATATATTCCTTTCAAGTCTTCACATTTTAAAATACAGCATTACATAAATACACATTCACACACTAGCTCACAACAATCAGAATTTACTTTAAATAAACATTAGGGAATTAGAGGGTTTTTTTATTTGCACATTACATTGCTTCCTAGTAATCTAACCTGCACCAGGAAGTTGATTGCTTGCCGATTCAAACTGGTTTTTATACTGGTTGATGTGCCAACATCCTGGGAGGGAGGCACTACACAAAATGCAATGCTTATACAAGACACATACATTACTGGTCACCTGAAATATAGATGTTATACCAAATAGGAATGTAATAAGTCTGGAGCTTAACTCCAAAACAAAAACAACAAAAAAACAACACTTGCAGTAGCCCACCAGGACTGCAAGGGTTAAATGCTCATATAGGGATGGAAGTAAATAGTTCCTCGCAGCTACACAACCTATACCCTGAAGCCAGTTCTCTTTGTGACTCCTCTGGACATAGCTTTCCATCATCATGTACAATGCAGGACCAGCAGCCCTGCATTGTAGCAGAGTTTGGGGAGGGCCAGGCCACATACTGGAATGTCAGGGAGTGGAGACGAGCACCCCTTGCTGGGGGAATGAGGTAAGGCAAGTATTACTGCAATCCCCCTAGACAAACTGCTTGTTTGTATCTAGGTTAAAAAATAAAATAAAAAAGTTATATATTCACCTGAAGCTCGAGCTGACTTCTTAGAACGGTCTGGACACCATGACAGCTGGCCAGCTCGGAGCTTCGGGTGAGTATCTGTTATTTTAGCACCTAGACAAGCACAAGGAGCAGCGTCCATTGTAAGTAATTTAATTAACATTTGAAAATCGCTTAAAGAGGGAATTTTTTTATTAACCCTTGCAGTGCGCGGGGTAGCCCCACTGCAAGGGTTAATTAAAAAAAATTCCTTCTTTAAGCGATTTCAAATGTTGATTAAATTACTTACAATGGACGCTGCTCCTTGACGTTTAGGGTGGCTCCTTACCCTTGCAGGGTCCTATAGAGCCCCCTTGTGTGTGCTAGTAAGTAGAGGTGCACCGAAATGAAATTTTCAAAACCGAAAATAAACAAAATGTCAGGCTGAAACTGAAATGATTTTTTCTCTAACCTTTTCAAATGTTTTAAAATAGTTTATTCTTTATTAAATATTTTAATTTTTTTACTTTACCGTTGGGGGCTTGACCTCAATCTCTTTTTCTGCATCCCGTGTTATAAATGAACAGTAATATACTGAGTGTTCCTGTTCATTCATAACTCGTAGAGATAGTATGTTTACCATGCCCACAATCATGAATGAGCAGGAAGTGATGTAGATCACTTCCCATTCATTCATAATTGGGGGCACAGTAAACATAATCTGTCCTCAATTATTTACAAATACTCAGCGATCACTGATAGCCGACAGCTTGTACCCACTCTCCATCCTGACTCGGAGGCTGAGTGAGCGGTGCGGGGAGGAGAGCGCGATCTCCTGTGACAGCTGACTTCTCCCCCACGCCACCAGCCAGGCCTCCTGTGACAGCCGACTCCGCCCCCACACCACCGCTCTCTTGATCTGTCACAGGAGGCTGAGCGGGGC